TTCCTTCTTCTAGCCATTCCTGTAGAACTCGATCATAATCTTCCCTATAACCATCTTTATTCAATTTTATCCTTAACGAATCTAGTCGTTTCTTGGCAACGTGGAAATTCGTAGGTAGAGCAGGGTGGTTTTCTATCCACGGGAGACTCACTTCATACCTTGAATCGTCATACCGTCTAACAGTCGATTTGAAATGTTCCAATGCTGCCTTCTCGGATTCAACTCTCGTGAATTCTTTGACTGGATCGTTAATACCAAGAAGTTCGAGATTCCAAAGGTCGGATACCATTTTATCGTTTGTAAGCATACTAGTAACAAGCATACAGCTAGATTTTGGAATATTGGCTCCAGGTGGGGCTTTACCCATTAATGTCCACCCCAATTTCGTTTCTACTAGTACAAGACCGCATGATAGAACGTGACGTGTACCAGTGTAAAGTTTACCTATTACATCTGCTCCCAACAAGAGTTCTATTGGTCCATCCTCCGTGTCAAATACAGAAATCCCTAGTTCCTTAATTTCCTGATACCAACAACCTCTATAAATACTAGCAATATTTCCACAAATAACAGCTTGGTCGTGAACTTCTAATGTACAAGAGTATAGTCCATCTAAACTATCCAACTGAGTTTCGTAACAATCATGGTTTACTGTCTCTGTATTGTATCCTCCAAAAAGGGCATGCACCATCTCTTCAGTTCTTACAACTCGCATCTGCATGTAAACTGCTGTTTTCCTTAGAATGTAAGATTTCTGAGAACCGGTGTCGAGTAGGGCTCTTGCTCTTCTTACTTTATCATTGCAAACAATGTTGACTGCTAATGTTTGTAGAAATACATCTGATTCGACATTCCTGTAGTCACTTGAGTATTCACCAAAGATTCGGGTATTGAAGATGAATTTTTAGGTGATGAATTGTTGATTGGAGTTGATTTTTCAATATCTTCGGTCGGACACATCAACGGAACATGCTTACCACCGCATTTGGAACATTTTAGCTTAGAAAACATCATGCATCTTCGAGCCAAATAACCTTGACGTAAACACCTGTAACATGATCCATTTTGAAGAAGTTTCTGTTTTCTTTGTTCAAGTGACATCTTGAGTGCTTCTTGACAAGCATCGCTTAGATGCTGTTCTCGGCAAAAACTACATCTGGGATTCTGATTCAAAAATCCAGTCGCAGAGGGAACACTGGGTTTCGATTCAACTTCTTTCTTTCGGTTTTTCATATCGAAATTGGTTGCCAGTGATATTCTTTCTTCGTTTTCCACCTCACGTTTCAAAAATTCCATAAGTTTTTTCAAACGTGTCTTCAAGGAATCAATTATGGAAAACTCAGAGTTTCTTTGCCATGTTCTCAATATTTCTTCGGGTAAGCACGATTCGAGTAATGGGTACAACATTGCTGCACAGTTGTCGGTAGCAACTCCGAGTGTTTCTAGTGCTCTCAGTTGCGACTCCATTTTATCGTACAGAGATGTCAAATTGTTAGTTTTGTTGGTGATATTATTCAAGACCAACTTCAAAAGTTCCCTAACATAATACTCTATAAGCAAGTCATCTCTCCCAAATCTGGACTTCAAACTATCTATCGCCTTGATGTAGTTATCACCTGTTGGTGGATAACTCTCGATTAGCTGTCGTGCTTTTGAGTTCGGGATAGTTGATTGTAGTAAATATTGAAATTTATCATCGTTTTCCATTGTTTCATCATCGTGAATCCGCTTGAATAAACTCCAGAACTGTAACCAATCTTTTATTTCACCACCAAACTTCAATCAATCAATCAATTTTAGGTAGATTGAGTTTGGGTCTACTTGAAGACACAGAACTGGGTTTTTCGAGACTAGTCACCATAAGCTGTTCAACTTCATAGGAAAGAGAACTAAATCTAATCATTGTTTCGTGAGAGTCTTTCATAACTTTTGCTATAGCATCTTTAGATTTGTTTGCGCTAAGCATCGAATGAATTAGTTTGTTGGACTCTTCTTCAATCTCTTCGTTCAATCTGGCTAATAATTTGAATATACCTTGAGTTTGAGCTACATTAGGGTTCGATTGCTTTAAAGCTTGCTCCAAATCAGTATAGTACATATCAAATGAGGTCTTCAACAACTCCATAGTCATAGTGTAGTCGTCGTTATCCATCTTGAGTTTCAGTTAGCAGCTATCTCGTCGGGGCCTCCAAATGGTTTATTCTATCAACCGCAGGTTGAGAGAATATCTAATGTTGTGTAGCTACTTCGAAAATTAATGAAAGTAACAAGACAGGTTCGTAAAATTATATTCTGACAACTTCAAAAAATCTAACTGCCCGTCACAATATTTCAACATACTGAATGTTATAAAAACTTCTGAAATCGAGGTAAGGAATATCATTAGTCTGCATATTGAATTGATATATAAACCTATTCACTAAATATCCATGGCATACTATAGTTATTAACGTTGCGAGGCCGATATGTAGCAAATAACGGATGAGGTTGAATATTGCGAATATATGTAATCCGAGGCGCAGCTTAACAATATGACAATAATATTATAACGACCGCCGGCCGTTAACAATCTTAACGGACGGAGGCTGTTAATATTAACTCTTCAATTATGATGTGAATACCGTTAAATCAAAATAATAGTATGGGATAACGAAAAACCTATATTGTAACGCATATCGATTTGGATCGAGAGAACACTATTTCGATAATAACGCTCTCAAATATATTCGTTTGTGGATAAAATCATATGTACTCATTTCATGGGAGCAAAGGTTCATATCGTCCCATGTGTGTTTCATAATTCATAACATAAATGATCACAACCATCAAACTGTACGAGATATGTATAGGGAACTTATGCACAGTTGATTGGTAAAATGTCTTAACTTCCAAAGTGAGTAATGATATACAGGCAGGTCCATTTAAAAAAAACTGAGTCCCCGAAAGTAGGTTACTTCTGAACCTCCCTGTATGCTGAAAATGAGATCCGGTTCTTAGGAAATATATGCAATGGTCTTATGCAGCTATGACCTGAATTTCAATTTTTGTGAATTTACATTGTGATGAAATCGCTATTTTTCATGGGTTAGTTTTTGCAAAATTATTTGAATAAATATCTTTTATCGCGAAAACCTCGGCGAAAACTGTTTCAGATAGGTATAGGAAATTATCAGGAGAAGTTATGAGGCATCTCATGAGAATTCCAAAAATGGCAATCATAATATATGTATATGTGGTGTTCCATTGGACATAACAAAGTAGCTACTTCTTTCTGATATAAGCGGCAACAATGTATTGATGAAAATATTCAAGACAGATAGAGAATGCTTGAATATTCACGGAATACAAATTTTCGACATGATCTGCTGTTCGGTTCTCCAGATACTTCTAATGTTCCATCCATCGTGAAACACCTTGTATACCATTCATCTATACCAAATTTTGAAGTTATGACTTGTTTGATAGATTCGTTGACAGCCGTATACAGTTCGTTTCTTTCTAGTTTTTATTCATCATAATATATTTCTGACTCCAGAAAAACGTTTCCTTGTGATGAGTTGTTGATCACTAAATCATTTTGGGGATTTATATGTGATATTCATGGCTTATGAGATAATTGTAGATGCCAACAAAAAAAAAAGTTTTTTGGTGTCACTCAAGTTTTTGAAAAAGAAGTAGAAGATAACATACTGTATATATACATTTTTGTGATCACGACAAATCATAGATTTCGAAATGAATATAACAACATGGGGTATCTTTGAAAAAAATAATTTGTGTTTTGTCACGCTTTTAGGGATGACCCGGTAAAACTACTGATAAGGGCTGTGAAAAGGTCCTATTGCGGCATTTAACTTCTGCACAGTTTTCACTTTGTATAAAATTCATCTATACAAAACCTCATCCTGAAGTTATCACTTGTCTAATAGATTTGTTGACACCCGTATACAGTATGATTTCTTCAAGTTCTTCTTTTTCATAATATATTTCTGACTCCAGAAAAACGTTCTCTTGTGGTGAGTTATTGATCACTATTTTTAAAAAAGAAGTAGAAGATAACACACTGTATACATACACTTTTGTGATCACGACAAATCATAGATTTCGAAATGAATATAACAAAATGCGGTGTGGGGTTTCTTTAAAAAAAAAATAATTTGTGTTTTGTCACGCTTTTAGGGATGACCCTGTAAAACTACTGATAGGGGCTGTGGAAAGGTCCTATTGCGGCGTTCATCTTTCGCACATTTTGTTTTGCTCGTTGAAATAAAACGTGAATAAAATGGTTGGAGTCTTCAGTAGCCAACCCTATACGACTTGTAAGAAATTATCATGACCTACTAAGTTCTAGGACTATGAATTACTTCAGATAGTGACTCGAAACCGGAAACGTCAGAGAATTCAGCTAGTAATTAGTTTTCGTTTGTTATTTGATGTCGTAATTACTTCAAGCTTCACATTCTAAATGCATTTCCGTGAAATTCTCATAAAAACTCGTAATTGTTATTAACCTTTTGTGAAGTTTTTCCAATGTCTCACTCAAGATTCACATCAATGAACTTCCGAGATGATTCAAATAATTTGTGACGCAAACATTTCTACTTGTTCCTCTATAGTGGCAAATTTTGAAGTATCCTAAGAACAATACTTGCCAGCTGTAGGTAAACCAAGAATTGTCACGTTTTGTTAACATTGAACCACATAATTACGAAAATAACGTCAAATTGTCATGACAGATTTGGAAAGGCCGTCCTTACGGGTTGACTGGAGCATCGCTAGGTAGGTAAAATGTGTTCTCAATTCGTGTATTCTCATTTTCAATATTCACCCATTGGTGCAATGATGCTGGACCATCCTGTATATATATTTTCATTACAATGAAGGAATCATTCCGGAATCGGTCAGTATTTTCATATGTTGGAAAATCCTTGAGGACTTTATTGGTAGATGAGTATAAAACGGAAATAACAGATGAAATTATGATTATTTTAGTAATCGCACTTCATCTACTGCAAATATGTGGCAATCTGGTGTTATGTGTCTGCTCATGATGGTGATGAAATATTGTGAGTAGGTACTTACATAATTTCTTTTAAACGAGTATTTCGGGGATCAAACTAATTATTCAGGTAGAATTAGGAAGTAATATTTTTAACTTTATAATTTTAGCTATCAAATTATGATCATGTTACGAAAGTGATGCTTATTCATCATCTGATATAGATCACAAAGGTGGTCCTGAGAATACCATCTCCATTTCATTCACTTTCTGCTTGGTAACAGTAAGCTTCTCGATTTCTTTTCTCATCTACCCAGATTGCTCATTGTCACTTCCGGTTCAATCTGAAGCACTACCTATCTCGTTATTTGCATTGGAACACCTAGTATATTTCATCAAATTAAATCCCACAGAAATACTGTTATTTTTTCTAAATAAATATTTTTATCAATAGCAATTGGGGAATTCTTCGGGACCCATTCATACTCACTCACTCAGTTTAAATAAAACTCAAAACTCAAAATAAGACTCTTTTCCTCAAAATCAACATGTGTCCTGAATTGCACGCCTTTTGAGCTACAGCTAATCTAGTTACTTAAAAAAAGGAATATTTTAAATTGTGACCATAATATTAGACCAAATCTTCTGAGAATTAAACTTTTTCTGTTTATTTTGGCACTCTATTTTTTGTTTCGAAAAATCTTGTAAAACCAGTTCTTGAGGAGTTGAAGGGGGGGCACATGTTTATTTGGAAAGGTCTCATTTTGATCGCATCGATAGGTCCTCAAAATATCTAGATCGAAATTCGAATCACCCTGTATACTTCTTTTAGTATGCATCTATTTTACATTGCTCATCTCTTTCGCAATTACGAAAGTGGGCATAAAGAAACTAATTATCAACACTAGTATCACTAGTATTACCGTTTTAATATGCAAACAATCTAGTAGTCGGTTTTATTATCGTACCCTATGTTTTTTTTAGGGATGCTGAATCCGAATATGGAATTATCCAACAAAAATTTCTAGTGCGTTTTGAGATATTCGCAAAAAACACCGGAATTTTTGCACTTTTTTTCTCGCATTTGATTTCAAAAAGTACCGTCGAACGGGGTGAAATAAATAAAAAATATGTTATTCATCCTTTTTTCTAAAAGTATTGGGACAAAAAATATATAAAAAACCATGTAGGTCCTCTGGCACCTTTTTCGAATGGCTCAAGTCGAAAATAATTTTTAAACATTTAGTAAAGGCCTTTATCCTCTACTTTGGGCTGAAATGAATCAGGCATTAAAAAGGCGTGAAAACCGATTCCAAAATCCCAGACAGCACTGGATATTCCTAGAATATTCTCTGAATATGCTAAAAAGGAGGAGTATATTCCGAATATCCATCGATTATTACTAGAATATATACATGCCTCTGGAATATCTGAAAGGAATATTCCAAAGTGAATAGTCGGATATGTTCAGGGAATATTCAGGTATGAATTTTCCAGGAATATTCTCAACTGAATATTCTCTGTTGTATATTTATGAAATATTCCCAACTGAATGTTCTGTGGGGTATATTCATGAAATATTCTCAACTGAATATTCTGTGCGGTATATTCATGAAATATTCTCGACTGAAAAATCTGTGGTGTATATTAATGAAATATTCCATGAATATTCCTATGTTTCTCAACACATAAATACCAATCATCATTTCAGAGATGTGAGTATCGAACATCAATTAGATGTGAGGGGATTTTGAAACAAAAAGTGTTTATGATCCGATTTCGAACAACGCTCTCACAAGAAATTGATATGTACAACATTATTCAATTCGATTACTGGTCTAGTGGTCAAGGCGTTGCTCTGATAGTCTTGAGGTCACGAGTTCGATCCCTACTTGGGTCACTTTTTTTATTTTAGAATATGTTTATTGGAATATTCCAGGAACATTCAACATAGAATATTTTTTTGGGTATATTCTATGAATATCTGAGGAATTCCCATACGCATATTTAGAGAATATTCCACAGATATTCCGGAATATTCCAGATTATTTCTAGAATATTCCAATATTCCAATATTACAAAAGGAATATGATAGGGAGATTCATGGAATATCTGGTGCTGTCTGGGATACTAGGAGGTGAAATGAATAAAAGAAAAATAATTTTGATTTTTTTTGTAATTACATTTTCCTTGTGGCCTAAATTTTTTGTATATATTCTTGGCATGCTAAGAATAAATTGAATTACTAGAAATTGATGATCCATTCATACTGTAGCAAGTTATATCATGAAAAATATCCAATCACAAAATTTCAACCCCATTTTCATAGAATTCAGTGAAAAAAATGCTGAAATTCAACTAAAAACATTCATACAAGAATTGTATCAAATGTATGTTCAGTAAAAACTATTTAAGACATTCAGAGCATGTAAGTAAATAAAATTATAAAGTAAGTGCATCCACAATCAATCGTTCAAATAGTTTCGTAAAAATAGCAAAAAATCTGTTATACCCTCGGTTAGAGCCTATATAAAGTTTGTTCGTGATACCCTCGTGTTACTAAGCGCGGCGAAAGACTGTTCAACAGCCCCTTCTCGTGTACAGAAACACCCGACTGATTCATTTTACCCACTATGGTGCACCTAACCCTGTTTGACGGTATGTGTGGTAAGAGAAAAATAGATCTCAACCTTTTATTATAGAGGACTAAATTTGCCACAATCTGAGTCTGAGTGCAGCACTATCAGATTTTTGGCAAAATAAAATCATTTTTGGAGGGCTGTATATGTCATCCACTGTCAACCCCAAACACGGTAAACATTTTTGAGTTGATTTCAACTCCAGGTCCACACAACTTTGTGTCGATTTAGGTCCACACCGGATTGTGTATAGCCATTTTATAGCTACCCTTTGCATTATACTGACACCAAATATCTCAAAGTATGAAAAATTCTCGAGAAATGATTTGCCCAATTTTGACTGAAATTCAACGAAATTTGAGTTCTTGATGAAACTAATTGTGCATTTCTATTTCGACGAAAAGCTTCACTCAGTAGAATTCTTTGAAGAAAGTGAACTTTGTTTTTTTTTCTGCCACATATACTTTCTGAAATTCTCAGCGAAAACCTAAAGAAACTGCGAAAATTTCGCTGTTTTTACGAATATCTCTAAACTCACCAGGAAATTTCGTTGGATAACTCCAGATCCGCATCCAGCGCCTCAAAAAATATATGGTTCGTTTAAAAAACACAAATCGCTATAGAAATAGTGGCCAAACTGAATAATTACCAAAGACTTTTGCATTTTCTAAAAAGTCCATAAAATCAACGGATCTCTTCGTAATGCATAACAAAAATCGTAACTTGATTTTTTTATTGATGTTCTTAATGTGATCATTGACTTAATGTTGGATCCCGCATTGAAATTTGCTTTTTAACTCTTTATTTAAAAGTTTAGATGCATGATTTTGATTTACAGATTCGATTAATGCTCAGAACCAACAGGCTTGTGCAATACCGAGTTTATGCAACGATTTAACGATCGATCCCAGAATTCAGACACCGACACAGGGAATACCTACCCAAACATCACAACCCCCTCAAACTTCACAATTGCCACAAATCTCACAACCTCCACAGACCAACATAGTGACGGTGAGAATAATCAGTTCAAGATATGTGAGGTTTTTGTGTCATCGAGACGTATTCCATTTCGCCTGTGTATATTGTGATAGACACCAAAGGCGTTTTCGGAAACTTACTCGGGTTGTTCGGATCCCTAACCTGAACGTTCGGTTACCCAAACCGAGTTACCTACCTCTGTTCGGAAACTTGAATGATGCTGACTCGATCACTGACTCGGGTTGATTTTTCGTGACCCAACTCAAAAGCAGGGTCGCCAGAGTTGCGAAGGACACCGCATGCGCATTACGGAATTTAAGTCAATCAAAAAACGCGGGAGTCTACATTCGACGATAACAATAATAATAAAATAATTTGCATGTTGGGAAAAATCACGACCGGTGATATACATGTTCTTTTCAATCTTCACAATTTGATTAATGTAATTCATTTGGGTAGAATTTGGGTAGGGGTGAAGTTTGTGGTTATGTGCAACAACACATATGAGACAAGTACACCAATCCACAGGTGAATATAAATATTTGTAATCAGATCAAATAATTACTTGAAAATAATGTGACCATTTTCGTCTGTCAAATTCATAAAACCACAGGAAAAATATAATATTCAGTGTATCAGTGTTCCTAACCTGACACGTTCGTAAACGTTGAACACGAGTATATGATCCGAGTTTTTTGTCACGTGACCTATCTGGATCGAGTTATCAACCCAGAGTAAGTTTCCGAAAACGCCTCAAGTCATCTTGCTATGTAATAATTATTGTTGTCCAACGTTTCCTAGATTGAAATACTCATATGTTGTAGACAAAGATAGAACTCTACATTTTTCTCATGAAAATGATGAGCGCAGTGGAAAAACGCCCGACTCAAGACCGCGAGGTCGTGAGATCGAATCCCAACTAGGGCAAAGATTTTTTCGATAGTCTGCTACTATTCACTGTTACATTATAATTTCCTATTTGGCCAGGGCCGGATTGAGATTACTTTACGCCCAGGGCACAATCAATTTTTCCGCCCCCGACAGATTACAAAAATGATAAAACGAAAAATACTTTTCTCCTCGAATTGACTCCTCATACCAGTATGGACTCTTCTCAGTGATAGATGTTGATGTAAACAAATTAATTGAATTAATTTATCTTGAATTCTCAATTCTCATCAAATTCGAGAACACTTTCCATTTTTCTTATATACTCATCCACAGTCTTGTTCTTCGAACATTTTTGGAACAAGTTGTCACCGACAATCGATTGAGTTTTTTTAGGGGTGCTCTATTACAGATATGTTTGAACGCAGTGACATTTTGAGGTAAATCACCTGGTGAAATAAATAGAAGTAAAAATCACAAGCAAGAGATATCATTTCAGGAAACTCGAAACTGGCACAAATAATAGTTAATCATACACCAAGGTAGTTAATAATATCATTATTACCCAGGGACCAAGATTATATTTCGAGGCTTTAGCCGAGGGGTATAAGGTCCCGTGGTAATAATATTTTTCATCTACACACTGTATCGAAAGTAAGCTTTTTTGTCCCGCATTTAAGACACAAACCTATCAATATACTCCCTTGGGAGCAAACAGAATTTTACCCCCCCCCCCTCTCTTAAGGCGCCACATAAAAATTAATAGGAAATTATTTATTTATCACATCGAAAAATGAAATTGGTTATCAGGAACGTATTATTTTCAGAAGTACCTAATAAATGAAAATATATAGCCTTTCTTCTTGATATTGTCTCAGGAATACGTCATTCGAATATTCCAACATATTCTATAATAATAGGATCTTTCCTTCCTAACGCCGCGAGCTGCTTAGATAAATGTTTATTTGACCAAGTTACAAAATACATTTGTTTTCGGCTAGTCAATTGTGGAAGCATAGAATAATGAAATACATACACATTACAGTAAATTCAATAAAATTATAAATTAATATTTTTCAAAGCCAAAACAATATAAACCATGTTTGAAATTCAAGAATTTGGTACAGCGGTTTCCTTGCTAACTGTGGTTATCAGATTCAACAAATGGCGTGTGGAAATATTCTTCGACTGTATAAAAACAATAAGTTGAAATATGTTTCTTAATTGCGAACTTGACTGATTTTGCATTTTCACCCAATAACCCTATACCACTAGGGCGACGATTGATTAAGTTGAGATCTAGTGAGTTTTTCGTTGACTTTGCCAGCCTGTGATTTGGTTCTCTTAGATGATTGGCATTCCTTGTCATATAATTATGGACATCTGAATTTGTCACGAGGTTCGTTTTATTCCTATTAATTTCCAACAGTGAAACAAAAATATATAATGATGGAAGAGGCATTATATTCAAACTTTTGAAAATTGGTTTACAGTGGTCTGTGAAACCAGCACCGGCTACGATCCTGACAGCACGTTTCTGCAAACGAAAAATTTTTTCAGCATGACAAGAGTTACCCCTCAACATCGTGCCGTAACTGAGATGAGAATGAAATAAAGCGAAGTAACATGATCTCATAGTTTCTCTGGATATCTGTTTACTCAAATTGCGTAGCACGAATATTGTGCTTGAGAGTTTTCGGGATAATTCTTGAACATGACAAGACCAATTTAGTTTATCATCGATGACCAAAACAAGCAGCTTGACACTATCACCTTTAGAATAAATGTAGCACTTCATTTTAAGGAGATTTGAGCGTGAGTTCTACGGTGCAATCCATCCCCATCTCCCGATTCATAACCCTTGGAATTATTTCACAATTATTCATAGACAAAAATGCAAACATTATTTTTTCATCGTACGTATTTTTAATTTTGTTACCCGATTTTGAAACTTCGCTACAAAGTTACAAACATGCTTGAAGATAATTATTACAAACGAGTGTCCAAAGTGTGCTCTTGTACTTCAGCCTCCAGTAAATTGTCTCTTCGGTAACGTCCATATACCAGACCGGACGAGTTGGAAATCCAGGAGATTTGTTTTCCTCCGGCACGTGTTTTTGAAAAATGATTTCTTTCTATTCCACTATCGTCGGAATTGTTTTACGAAGGTAAATGTACAGAATAATTTCGTATACACATAATCTTCATATATATAAGATGCATAAAAGAAACTATAAATGCTCGTATAACAGTGTCTCGAATAATAATATTGCAGTATTTGTTCAGAATCGGTAGACATTGTAATCAGATGAACAATCTATTAATTCGGGAACACTTTATCCGAATACCAACATCCTATCCATATAAATATACATGGACATGTTTCGAAGGATTAATCCCTTATCATCAGCAAATTAATAAAAAGAAAATCTGGCAGAAGAAACAACGCTTATGTTAGTTTTTAAGTATTGATTGAAAATCTAAATGTACCTACCATTATTGGTGGAAAACTAACATAAACGTTGTTTCTTCTTACAGATTTTCTTTTTATAAATTTGCTGATGATGAAGGATTAATAGATTTACTGGGTACCTATGCATGCCTATGTAACATTTCAAGGAATGAATCTCTTCAGTGGATGAAGAGTTCTACTTTTATGATAAAAATACATATGTAAATTATCCATAAACATCACGCTCCTCTTGTATACTGAATTTATTCGTAACATATAGATGTAGTTTATAGAAACCATACTAGTGCATTAAACTTTGTATGTATCATTTGCGTAAAATGCGTTTATAGCCTTCGGCGTGTAATGGCCCTCGGCTGACGCGAAACACATTATTGTCAATTTATGCTATCTGGTGTGGATCAGCGTTCATATAATCATAAAAATAAATTGATTCTTCAACTACAGTCAAGCGATACGAAGGAAAACTATAATAGTTGTCTATAAAGAGATGGCTTCCTGAGCAACATTTCTCAAATACCGGGTGACACAGGCTATCGGGCTCCCCCTGTAACTTCTGCATTCGTCAACGGATTTTTCTGAAATTCGGTACAGTTATATAAGCAACTATTTCGGATTTGATCACATTACAATCCAATATGGTGGACTTCCGGTTTTTCTGGAAATGCCAGCAATTTTGTTTTTTCAAATGGAACACCCTGTATATTTTTACATATTCAAGTTCAACAGGTCAAAACAAGTGCAATCTTGATGTCAAATGTCATTTATTCCACAGCCTACCTAGTTGAAAAATTATTCCAACTGCAAGGAAATTCGAAAACTAGTTGTTGATTTTTGAATGTATACAATTTGTTACTGCACCGAAAACCAAAAATGATATTTCATTTTGTTCCTCAATGTATGTTCTAGAGAAACGGGTAGGTGGCCCATAGGGGTTCCATTTGAAAAAAAATAATTTTTGATCAAAAAGTGATGTGGCTGAATTGATTCCTGGATAAGTGACACAAAAAATAATTTTTCAGAAAAAATTATGTTCTTCTGTTATGTGTGACTCATTGTGAATAGTCTTGACCACATCTCATTTATCCACGAGGTAAAATGAAAAAACAATTTTAATTTAATTTTTTTCGAAAAAATGACATTTGAAATAAAGATTGCACTTGTTTCGACCTGTTGAACTTGAATATGTAAGAATATACAGGGTGCTTTATTTGAAAAAACAAAGTTGCTGGCATTTCCAGAAAAACCGGAAGTCTGCCATATTGCATTGTTATGTGATCAAATCCGAAATAATTGCTTATATAACTGTACCGAATTTCAGAAAAATCCGATGACGAAAGCAGAAGTTACGGGGGTGGCCCGATACCCGGTGTCACCCGGTATTGTTTCACGATGTCTCACCATCTAACTCCACGTTCCGCCTGTTGATAGTAATTTTTCGTATATTCAATTATCGTTATATACCAGTAATCGCGTGGCATCTGTCATAGACGATAAACTATTTTCTGATATGTTACGAACTTTATAGCGGGAATTATTCGAAATATCTTCCAAGTACGCGAGAAAATATAGATTGTTTCATTGGAAATTTGCTTTCCGCGATTTTCAGCAATTGTTTCGAAACATTTTCAGCCCACCAGTTGGCGTTACTAGAGCGTGGGGCCGTTGTCAAAGTCAGAGGTCCCAAAATTTTGCCGGGTAGCCCTGTAGGCTAAGTCCTGTTCTTTTTCAAAAATATACTGAAAAAAATTATGTGGCCTATGTAAACAAATAGAAGGGCTTAAGTTATGGTTGGACTTGATCAGTCTTGCGTTTTTAACTCTAAATGTGGACTTTCACACGCAATTTTCACATTAACAATGAAGAAGATATCGTTGGAAGAAGGCAAATGAAATAAAAAGATCAATTTCTTTCAGTTCTATCAAACCTGATCTCACGTCTCTGTATCACGATCTGGAGGACAATTACATATGTTAGCCCTCATTCCTTGTCGTTCAAAGGAAACTCTGCAATTTTGTATTTGTAGTTCATTTTCATCTTCAATGATGAATCCATCAGAAGCTGCTGGTTTATACGAGATAACCCTGTATCATTAAAACAAATTGTGATATTCATGATTTCTATTTTTATAATCATCCAACGCAATTCTGGATCCGTTTTCATAACGCGTTTGTTTCTGAAATGACTGCAACGCAATAACGCGTTATGAAATGTCGCGTATGAAAATAGTGCGTATACAAAATAATGCGTAACAAAATGGCTCTGGTTCAAAACAGTGCGTAATGAAATGGTTCTCAATATTCGATCGTTTATCCATGGATTTATTCAACAGCTGATTCTTTTCATAAGTTAACAATTTCAGCAACTCGTCTTCTGATTTCTGCATTGTATTGTTGGGAAGTTTTTACAAAATGGTATTACCCCTAAATTCTCAAACTAGAATAATCCTGTACGATCAAGGGATGTCAACAATTCCTGACATTTGGAAGAAATAATCATTTATGGTATTGATAATAATGTATTATGGTACATGGAATTCATGCGAAAAGAGTCCGTCAGGCCGAGTGAATAATTATTTCTAGTGACAAAGGTCCGTAACACATGAGTATAATAATTCTAAATTCCATGTGAATGAGGGCTAACATTACTTTTACGCCGGTGGGAATAGAAGTTGGTTTCTCTGGTAACAAAAAAGGGGCAGAAGTCTCGTATTATTCCCTAGGGAGATAATGTGACATATTTTCTCCCTAGGGAGTTTATACCAACTTTACATTTTTCTCATAGCTCTGCGCTTTCTTTTCGGAACACCTTTCTCTGAAACGACTATAAGCTGCATCATACAGATTTTTAGTTCTCGCTGGTAGCAAGTTAAGAATCACTGCAGAAGCAGTATCAATAGTTTCTTGGGGTTTTTCTCTCGATTTCTTATTCCATAACCGTTAACCATTTCCAAAGCTGTTCCCATAAATTTCAGTTTGATATTTGCTGTCACCATGGGTTGTCAACAAGATGCATGTTGTCAAGATACGAATTCCACGAACTATACTACTACTAATTATGACAAAACGCTTTGACCAAATTTTTATTCTTCCTCAATTTTTGTGTTTTTGCCAGCGTAAAAAATAGTATGTACACCTCAGGACAGAATGCTATTTTTCCCTCGGTGCTTTGTATCTCTCGGGCTTCGCCCTCGAGCTACAAATCGCACCTTGGAAAAAATCTTGCATTTCTGTTCCTTGATGTATAATGTACTATTGTGGTCCACTCAAACGCGCGACTGAAACGTGAGGTAAGGGTTGATAGAACAGATGAATATACTTCTCATATTTGTGTCATTTGGCATTTTCCTACGATATCTTCTTCTCCGTCAATATAAGAATTGGTTGAAAAGTTCCACATTGAGAGGAAAAAAACGTTAGTCGGCTCAAGTTTTCCGATAAACTGAGGTTTTTTATGTGTTCAAATATTATAATTTTGGGATTTTTGACTTTGACACTGACGTCAAATGTTAGCCCTTATTCACAAAATAAAGATGAAGAACAACTTGTTGATGATACAGGGTGCACAAATTGGATGAGGAAAACAACGAGAAAACAAGCAATACCACAAACAAATTCAATTCCTCAACAATAATAGAAAAAAGTTTTAGGTAAACTTTATCAAATATTTCAGGGTGGCCGGTTTATTGAAACACCCTTTACTCGGCCTTGAATATGACGTTTGTTAAAAATTTGAACCGCACCGTGTAAGTAAGAGCCCGAGCGATAGTGCAAGTTACGTCCGATATACATACAACATTTCATGCACGACTGGTATATTTGATTTTTCGAGGTGAATACCTCTTGCTGCAGTGAGGGATACGGAGGAATATCATTGAATGAATCGACGTCACCATGGTAACTCACCAAATTTTTCGAAATAGGAGTAGACTATTTTATTCGCTATCAATTAGTGTCATCACAAATAACTTAATTTTTTTTCGACCCATACAAAAAAATCACGTTTTATGTTCTAATTAACTAACGGAAAACCGACTATTTCCGACGTCAAATACTTTTCGTCCGCAAACTATTGATCTACTGCAACATTTCATAATCTACTGAAAAGTAATTTGACACCTATTTATTATTATAATTAATTATATCTATATTATAATATACAGTATGATGCAAATGTATGGAATAAATTCATTATTTCAGAAATGGGCGACATTTGAAGAAATTCCAAAAACACGTGAGTTTTAATTTTTGAAACCTCATCTCATGACATTCATATGAGAGATGTTACGTCACCGGTGTTGGAGTAATGACGTAATGGACGGTTTTTTCAAATACAAACAGGGGTCATGTGACACCTCGTTTGAAAGGTCTACTGATCGTCTATCCAATAGTCAAAAATTTGCAAAAGAAGATTGAAATTAAAATGGATTATCATTTGGTTAACTGAATCTTGCAGAGATCTTCTACTGAGAATTGAACATCGAAGGGTCGTCTTGTTGAAAAAATACATCGATAAAAAAGTTCTGAACTCTACTTTTTGGATTTTTTTCGGAAGTCGTCTTGTTTTGAAATGAATTTATTCCATACATTTGCATCATACTGTATATTTATAAGATTCATTAATCTTCAGTTGATCACATACACTTATAAATTGCAGGACATCTGTTTAAATCAATTTGAAACCCAAAGTCATTTTACATATAGGTTATACTGATGATATGTATTAACCAAAAAAGTGTAATACTTCATCTGATTCAGATCGCGGGCGGTAAAGTGCCACTTAACGTCCGCAAAACAGGGCTGTATAGTGCGTCTTTAGTCCCTGTTGTGCATAAATATTGATATTATAACCACTAATGACTCATTGTCACTGAAAGCTGCTTCTAATTTACAAGATGCGTGAGTTGATGGGTTTGACATCAGAATAATCAGACCTTAAACTTGATGAGAGGAAGAAAAATAAGGAAGGCCTTCTACATCGTTGAGATCAGAGATTTTTAATTGATTGGTTGGTTTGAAATGTGTTCGGGTAGCTGAGAATGTGAGCGTTTTTGGACCCACATGTATTTGAGAACTTTCCTCTCAAAATATAGCAAGGAATAACATGGGATGAGGATGTGATTTTTTTCTCGAAGGACATACCAGTACAAAAAGAAACTCGTTCTTGTCAAATATCTATTTTGTTCAACAGCCTACAACTTGTCCCTCCGGTTACATCCTATGTAGAAATATCAGATGCGGAGTGAGCTCGAATCCGGTCCAAGCATCCGACCAGAATGGTGATGCTAAGAGACTAGCCTTCCCTTGGCACGTATTCATCCAGGACGGTACCCGAGCCTCGGAAAGACCGGGCCGAGGATATGCTGGTGGTGGAGTATTGATATCTCCCAGATATGTGGTGACAGCCGCTCATAAAATTAGTAACCTGTGAGTATCGAACCTTGATCTTCATATTAACCACACCTCCCTGAAGAATGAATGCCCATGATCAAGCATTGTTATACAGGGTGCCCTAAGAGGTATTCACAAAAAATTACCACGGTTATTTTGCACTTATCATGCGATGGATTTTTTTTTAAATTTCTTCATTTCCGAAGTTGTCCACTGTTGCAAATTTATGTTATTGTTACTGTATTTCAAAGACAACTTGGAACTCGAACCTTTGCAAGTTCATTATTAATTTCGCCAATGGATATTCACCATAAGTAGTGAAATATTTGAAGGTAGTCTGAAGGAAATAATTATAAGTTGTATCATTGAAATCGCTTTTATGGAGTTACTTTGGGTTATCAGATTCTTTTTGACCTCTTGTGTGTAAAGAAAGTGGATTTGCTGCTACTTGAAATACCTCCACAGATTCCATTCCACATTTGTTTTGTCAAAAGTTTCTAGAAATATCAAGAAATAATGTCGTAGATATAGGAAAAAATCTCGAAAAAAATTTTGATTCAGTGAATATTTTCTCTCTGTGTAGTATTAAACGAGCAATCCATCGTCAAAATCAACCAGTAATAAATCTCATTGTTTGAAAAGTCTGTTATATCTCCACATCTCATCGTGGTCTGTGGGACAGATGCAATAATAATATTGTAACTTATATACATCTGCGATTTTTATAAATTTGGTCGTTCCTGGAGGGGCATATCTTTGCCTATCTAGATAATCCAGTAACATTTGATATAGTTTTTATCTATCAATATGGACATTATGTAAAGGAAATAAAGAGTCTGAATCTGAATCAACCTCTCTCCCAAAGGGGTATATTCGAGGGGGCATAAATCTCAGCCAATGGAATATCAGGACACAAATTTCTATCACGTGTATACAAGAACCACGGTATAGGAGACAATTCTTTGTTGCTGAAATATTTCGGGAACTAATACAGTTGGGCTCAGAAAAATGTCCCCTGTTTCTTGGTATATATTTTATTTTTATTTGAATTGCATTACCTCGTTGGTCCCAGCACTGGGACCAAACGCCCCATAAGTCGAAACTTGTGCGGGGTTAGGTAAGCATACAAACACAAACATCCATGGCCTAACTAGGATTCGAACCTATGTCTCGGTGGGAGTCCCCATACGAACTCAGCGCATTCACGCTCTCGACCACCGAGCCGTCCTAAATATAATAATAATTATATATAATATATGATATATAATATATGATATATAATATATATAATAACTACTAGAAATCATCTGGACATTATACACGATATTATATTACATCCGGAGATACATTATCATAAGTTGGATCAACGAAGCTGTACGAAACTTCTCGTGCACCAGCAATCTCTCACTCAATAATTAACCGTAGATGGAAGATGGAACGATATATTTTTTTTCTTTATAAGGCGGCTAAAGTTTTATTTCATGTTGCAACTCTTGTGACAGATTATCCCAGTTCCATCACACCACCACCTATTAAGAGGAAGATAAGCTTCTATTGCACCATCTCTCCAAGAGAACTTTTCTGGACCAAATCAACACTGAAACTGTAGATTATTTTGCTTTTTTTGATTTGCTATAGATCATCACTCTTTGTACAACATTTCAAGTTGTTTTCCCTTGGACCTGGAATCTACAAATTTTATATAGTCAAGCTGAATTATTCTCCTTGAAAACTGAAAGGTATCTGTGAAAATCGCATTGTTTGAGAATTGCTTCATCATGAATTGTAGTGATTGATAGATAATGGATTTTCAGAACTCGTAGAGCCATCAATGTGCGAATGGGTTTATACAACATAGATGACGAGCAGAATGTACAAACACGAGTTGTATCGTCTATTCATTACCATAGTGGATATAACAGAGATACACTGAAGAATGATATTGCAATTCTTCAGTTGCAACAACCCATCAATTTGGACAATAACGCGAATGTAATGTGTTTGCCTACCGCAGGAAGAAATTATCAGGGAACAAGGTAAACATCTCATTTGGGTACTTTTTCTTCGAATGGTTGAAAATCATCTATGGAATCAATAACAAGCCAACTCACTTATTTTCCATTTTTATTTGAACACTGAAAAATGGCGTCTTGTGAGAAATAATGTGATCACAATAATTAATATGGTTTCTCGCGTATTCGTGAACAAATCGACTTATTTGTGAAAATTTCAGAAAACTTCCTGGGATTCTTCTCATGATAATTATGATCATTTACAAATAACTCCCTCGAAGATTCCTGGGCTTCATAGAACTTCCTCAAACTTTCTCGAACCTCTTTAATCTCTCCAAACTTCCTCGAACTCTCTTACGTCCTTGAACTTCCCCGAACTTACTCAAACTCCTTCTAACTTCCCAAACTTTCTTGAACTTCCCAAACTTTCTTGAACTTCCAAAACTTCCTCGAACTTCCCAAACTCTCTCAAACTTTCAGAACTTCCTCTATCTTCCAACTGTCTAATCTTCCTCTAACTACCTTCAACTTCCTTAAACTCTCTCAAACTACCGTAAACTTCCTCGAAGTTTCTTCAACTTTCTTCAACTCTCCAGAATTGTCTCAAGCCTGTACACCATATTTCCCACGTGATTACCTTCCCGATTTATTGGCAAGAAACCTTATTAATACTGAAACAGTCACCTTATTTCCAATCATTGTATGTCTATGATGACTCAGTTGATTTGGTCATTGAAAATCATAGCAAGGCATTACTCTTTGAATATTTTGATCTGATTTCAGTAGGAAGGTAATCGATAATGTGCTTATCTTGCTCCTGTTTCAAAGAAAAAAGTAACTTCCCTGAACTTATTCAAACTTCTTAGAACTTCCCAAACTTCCTTGAACTTCGAGCAGTTCAATCTTCCTCAAAATTTCTTGAACCTTACTGTACTTCCTCGGACTTCCTCAAAGTCCCTCAAACTTTCTCAAACTACATTAAACTTCATCGAACTTCCTCGACCTTTCCAGAACTTCCTCGAGCCTGTAAACCATACTTTCCACGTGATTACCTCCTTTATTCATTGGCTGAGAAACCTTAATACTGAAACAGTCACTTCATTGGTTGGGTTTCATCATAACCGTAATAATTGTTTTTGCATCATTACCTTGAGGGATTAATCTTGAGACATATAAGTAACGATATGTTCTTTTTGCAGCAATGTCGGTAATTGTTGGGTGGCTGGATTCGGCCAAATAGAGTTTTCCTCATTCGCTCCTCATTCGTTGAAACAAATCAAGGTTCCTATTGTGACTAATGATATGTGCATTCGATCATTCCAGGGTTTGTCAATTGATGTCAACAGGTACTTGGATTTTCCAGGTGAAATTTGTGCTGGAGGTGAACTCAATGTTGATGCTTGTACGGTGAGTATTGCAAGATATAAAATTCTGAGATACTGATGTAGTTATATGTATACTGGCATTATTGCCATATTGATGGTAATCGAATAATGTTTTTTTCTGGTTTGGCTGAAAGTAATACCAAATTTTGTATCTCAAATCACATCTTGTATATTTTTCTTGATATTCAGTCAGTTATTGATGACTTCATGAATCAATATTTCAGATGTGACAATCATAACAAGTTTCAATCGATATAGCGGAAATTTCATCCAACACAAACTCTATCAGGAATTTTTGATATCAACAATGTCACCAACTTCAAACAACACCCTGTACGTTTTCTCATTAATCTAATTTTATGTCAGGTATTCTGTCTAGCCGTGCGAGAAATCCAGAATCATGTCATTATTAAATTCAAAATGTAATATTGGTTTACTTCAATATCGAGTAGTAACCGAACCGAAATTACTCTTGCTTCGTTCGGACATAGCCAACTTGCTCCTATCGAATGTAAATGGAAATTCTCAATTTTATCGAACGTTTGTATTCGGAAATCCATGAGAAGTTACAGAATTTCATGGGACATTCCAGAACATTATTGAACATTTTGGAGCATTCTGGAATGTTCAAGATCATTCTAAAGGATTTAAGGTCATTCTGTAATTTTCCAGAACCTTCTTGTGTCTTGTGTAAGATACAAAAATGATCTGGAATATTCTTCAATCTTTTTGAAATCTCTCGAAAATGATGAAATATAATTGAACATTTAAAAGCCCTCTGGAACCTTCCAGAAAATTCAACATCATTCTGGCCAATATCGGCCACTTCAGCAACCGAATTTTCATCTGCCTCATACACTTTCCATAAGAAGACCATCTAGTGAAGTCTTGCCGAGGTGCTGCCAGGACAACAACCATTCATCCTCAATCACAATCACGAAATGCTCAGCCACGCCTTATTCGAACCGACAGCACCTTAGCATCGTAAACGGCTGTCTAGCGAATTAGAGCACTATCGATCCTTGGATACCGTGCTCGTGTTACCCACCGACTTATCACTGTATCTAGACTGCTAATAGTCATATCGCAGCAACCCGAAAATGTAGGGTCAGTTGCTTGCCTGAAAAGGCTTCTGTTCAATACGCAGGAACCCCATATACGTATTAATAATCAATACGGATAATCTCTATCTGTTTCCATAGCGAAACATGAAGCCGATTTTTGAAGACAAATGACTATCCATAAGGAAAAGTTTGGAAACGATCAGACACATACTGCTTTGATTGAAAGGCTAGTAAACGTCATTGTCCACCGAAACGCATGTCTTTGATGACTACTATAATAGCGCATGGCGCATGCGTATCATGCCACCAAATCCTTATGGATATTCATTTGTTTCATATTTTTGGCTTCATCCTGGCACCCGTTATGATCCGTATTGTTTATTAATACGTATATGAGGAACCCCCAGGCTGTCGTTCATGACTTTGACGTGGTATCGAAATCAAACTAGTATCCATTCTGTTCATAGGCGGCGGCAAGATAGATGGCGTCTTCTCAATAAAATAATATCAAAATGAAGTGGTGCTATTAATTTTGTCGTTTTATTTTCGCCAATCCTAGAAACTATGAAGTGGTTTGTTCTTTGCTGTGAGAAATTAATAATACTTTAGGTATTTTTCCATTGGTGAGTTTGTGGGTAATGAATAATTCATAACTTTGATTCACTTTCATCAGCTGAGCAAGTATTTAGGTCGAATAGAATCATGCATGTTTTGTATAATCATTCAGCTTTGAAGAATTTTGAGTTCATTTGTGAGGTTCACCATACATGCTAATCTATTTTGGATTAAAAGTTTACTCATTCAATAATGACTCTAGAATTCCAAAGGATATAAGAGAAATGAATGGTTTGAGGCTATTATGAGACCATTGGATCCTAGCCACTCAGGAATAATATGTTCAGATAATTTCACAACAGACAGCTTCCTGATTCTTCCAGGCAAAGCCATGGCATTGAAACCATATGCAAATCCTCCGTTTTTGAAATAGAGTTCTCAAATCTGAGTATTGGATGCTATGAGACCTGAATACTGCATATTCATTCATTTCTCACTACTTTATGTATGGTTTAACAACCTTCCATAGTAGACCTCACCCAACTTTCCTCTTTCGATACGCTTATGTTCAACGAGTTCATGAGTATAACATGACAGATCCTAAATGCGCATGAATCAGCTCCACCAGTTCCATTCCTTGAGTCGCTCACCTTTTTCCTTAAAGAATTTGCGGTCTAGATTAGTCTATAAGTCGGTGGTGTTACGATATATGCGATTAAAAATAAGATGGACACACTTTTGGTTGAACCTGAAATGGAATTCATCATGCGATAACATTCATACCAAATGTATAATATCCTTTTGTCATCTTTTTTACCTTTTCTGAAATACGGTTCTAATTTTTTTCCTTCACAATTCAAAAGATTTATTATCATTTCACAAGACTGGCCAAAATGTCAAATTAATGATTTTCAGAGTGTTGGTGTCAGAGTTTGAAATCCTTTTTAATATGATGCTCTTTCACTATTCACTCAAAAGATTTTCAAGTTGAATGTATAGTGAGATTTGTTCAAAATCAAAGATTTCCAAAAATATTCACCCTCACTATGTGATATTCAAAGTAATTATATCCATTCAAGGTTAGCTGACACAAGTCGAAAGGAGCTTGAGAAATCGACATCCCTTTCTGACATATCTGTTTATGAAGAATATGTATTTATCAGGAAAAACAATCACTTCTTATTAGCTCAATGTAAAATTCTAGTAATTCAAATCTCTTAAGGAGTGGAAATGATACTCATTATACGACAGATAATCATTTGAAACAGTTGCTTGAAATCAAAGTAGTGAGTTCGTCGCAGTCTCATATTTTTAACTACGGTTGTAACAAGTGATAATATCAGAAGGTGTTCTTTTATGAGTTCAACATTTCAAGGTTTCTAGTTCTTTTAATATTATTATCTATCATTTATACCCCAATTACACACATTTTTCTTGTAACCCAAATTCTCCTCTGAAGAAAATAGTTGGTAAATAACCGTATCAGAATCAGACTAATATTTTACAAATTAAGTATTTGCTTTTGAAAGAAGGACAACTCTATTTCTTCAGCAGTTTTGTGGGTATGTGAATATGACTTGCAATATAATTCATGATTCATTGTGTCTACTGGACGAATGACATGATTGTTCTTGATTTTGTGTATTTTAGCAAGACGGTGGTTCTGGACTTGTTTGCAGGGATACTGGTACATCGACATTCAACCTTGTCGGTTTGGTGAACTGGGGCAAAAATTGTGGTAGAGCTAACGTATATGGCGTTTACGTTAATATACCATATTATGTCGATTGGATTAATCGTATCATCACGTGTTATAATCAGGGCACTCTGGGCAGTACGGACTGCAGCAGGTTTGAAGCCATACTATTTTACTGAAGATTGTTTTATCGTTCATGTTATTATTCATTCAAATAAAGTTGACTCAATTGTTTAATGATTTATTTCTCAAAAATTCCTTATTCTGCATTATATCCAGTATAAAACACTCTGAAAACATATACAACCAAAAATGGATATTTTTGTATCTAGAGCGCAAAATGCTACTTTAGTGATCGAGATCTGATTTTTTTTGACGAGGCGTAGCCGTGTTGAAAAAATAGTCGAGATGACCAAAGTTTTTGCGCTCGAGTTGCAAACAACATTTTTTCTACAAACGTCAAACAATATCTAAAGTAAGAATATGCTTAGCTTGATATAAAAAATAGTGTTGAACTGGCTCAAAAGGCCTCCTCCTATCCTCCCTAGGTACGCACGAACATAATAGGAATTTCCTTTCGTGCGCTCTAAGAGATAAAACAAAGTTATTGTTGAACATTAAAAAATGAATGATTTCGTGGATGTTCGCTTGATTGAGGACCATAAAGTAAATATATATATCTCATATATTTTACATAACAAGGCGAAGTAGGTACTTCACGCACTGTTTTTCTTCGCGCATTGTTTTGTGCAAGGTATCATGGTAACGTAGAAAACTGAAAAAGAGGGTCACTTCGCAATTTGTTATCGACGCGCAAATCTTGTCATTTTTTGACGTTTGTTGAAAAATATAATTGTTACTTGCAATTTTCTCTGTTTTAGTGGAATATTTTACTTTATCATTATGAAGTACTTACCCAAAATAGTTCACTGTAGCAAAACGTCTTCACTTAGCTCTTCACATTTTCGAATAATCACTGAAATCATCGCTATATTTCATATAATTATCCAATGCATACAAAGCGACTCAGTGTGGATTCATGTAGCATCAAGTAACAATTATTGAATATGATTGATTTAGACTTCCTATTTTCGATGACTGTGTTTATGCAGACAAATAAATATTATCATTTATCAAATGAAAAGTAGAAGGTTTGGTTCACTTGTAACTCTTGAGATTAATGGGAGCAAACATTCTCAGTCTCACCAGTTGGTGTTACTAAAACTTGTACTGTGGCCTGTTTTATAGAAAATATTCAGAAAAAATGATGTAGAATATTTGGACAAATAGAAAACCTCAAGTTATATGGAAAGACTTGAGCAGACTAACGATTTTTCGGCCAGATGGCGCTAAAAGAAGAAGTAGGTATATTTATCAGTTCTACCAACTCTGATCTCATGTTTTCATAGCGCGATCTGGTGAACACTAAATAATGTTAGGCCTCATGGAACCCTCATGTCCCTGTTCATAGTCTTAACAGCCCATCTCCTTGTCCTTCCATTCTTCAGAAAGAATAAACTTGTTCTTGAATCATCAGCTAGCTAGACAGAAAACGCTTGAGCCTCTTCCAATTCACTGATCATTATAAAATTTTTTTGGTAAATTATGAAAAAACAGATCGGTTATTTTCTTAGATAATTTTGAATGGCTTGGAATCGAGTGATGCATATTTTTTATTTCCATTTGTTAATTTGGTTGGCGTTAATTGTAACATTCCAGCTACTCCTCACATTATAATTTTCAATTGATAATTACTCGATACTTTCTTGTTGATTGATGCTGCATAAATCTATACTTATGTATTGTGTTTATTTCTAGTTCACTCCTACTGAGGAAGTGAATATTCATTTCTATTTGGAATGTGGATATATTTTTATTGAGAAATATGCCAATATTACGCTCATCGGTATATCACGTTATCAAGAGCTATTGTTTTCGAGAGATGATTGTTTTCATTATTGAACAAATCATTTGTGATGATTTTATATAACCAACGACTGCATTGAATACTACTCATATATGAAACAATCAATATGAAATAAACAGGGTATCCTGCGTGACTCGATCGCCATAGCTTAAGGGCATATTCCTTAAACAATTTCAAGTCGGAAATGCTATATCCACTTTTGTCTTGAACTCAATAACAATTAAATAACAACTCTGCTCACCGGTAGATTGCGAGAGGTGGTCGAGTTGTTTGGCCTGACCACTATCATCTTTGAGGACCCATGAATAGTTTGGTGTATTTGAATGAACTACAAACCAGAGATGAGCTGATTCAAAATATCATGATGACTACAGATGCATCCATAAGGAACGACCCAGATACTCTTTGGAGAGCAACGTTTTCAATAATTAGAAGAACAAGAATGTGTTGTGAAGCAGCGGGGGGAAATTTCAAACAAAACCTTGAAATTTATTAAGGTATTCTTATTCAATATTTTATTCGCTCCATTACACTATCTGTCGAATTTACTAAGTGTTTTGTACAACGACTTGAAATTGTCCAAGGAATATCCCCTTGAGCTCTATGGCGATCGATTACATCAGAAATATTAACAGATATGTTACCCTCTGATCTTCAATTCTGACAGACAAAATGGGGGCTACCATCTATATTTGACTATCTACCAGATCGCACTACTGAGACGTGAGGTCAAGGTTGGTAGAACCGATAAAAATACTTCTTCTTTTTTTTTCATCGGGGGCATCATGCTTCTCTTTCAATCTCTAATTTGCTTGTATAAAGTTCGACATTGAGAATTAAACGCGCAGCACTGATCTAGGTCAACCATACTATTCTATTTTTTCACATATGCAGCATCAATATTTTTAGAAAATTTTCCAGAAAAAATAGGCCTCAGCCTTCAGAGCTATCTGGCATAATTTCAGGACTTTTGAGACTTTTGACATAGACCTCGCGCTCTAGTAACGCCAACTGGTGAGACTGAACATGTTAGACCTCATTGCGTTATTGTAGATGTCGCATTATTGTGGAAGATATATTATTTTGATATTCTATGTGGAATAGCATAGTGGAATAAGTGTATGTTGAAGTTTTTTTGAAAAGATGGGCGTGTGTTGGTATGGAGAGGGAAGAATGAAAGGTTTTTGGAAGGGAATCTGAAGGCAAGGGTGGCTTTTGGAATTGGAGCAGTGACTGTGGGCTGGAATATCGATGAATGAGAGGAGTGAATTGCTGATTCTGAGAGAGAGAGAGTATGGACGGTATAGAGATTTGTGTGAGAGAAAACTTTTTTTTCGTTGATGACAAGGCGAGACCGCATAGGGTTCGCCTTTGTCTCCGGATAAGAATCCCATAGAGCATGTCTGGAATGCCTATGAAATAACAATTGGAAGAAAGGAATGGGCGAAGGAAATGGTGAATGCGGTAAGTAGATTAGATTAGATTTGGAATGGGGCCTTCGGGCTATCTGCCTCCACACTGCGACCTTTTCAGATCTATTGTGCCTGCCCTCAAAATGGATTAGAGTTCTTCGGCTAGCCCCGCCTTCTCTATGAGACTCCATAGGCTTTTCAGATCTCCTGTGTATCTCTGGGCTCCTGGTTTTTCCACACCCAGCGTGAGGAACCTTAGTCTTGACAAGCCCTCACAGTGGCAAAGTATGTGTACTGCTGTTTCTTCCTCTTCTTGACAGAACCTGCACAGCAGTTCTTCAGTCAGACCTATCGTATACTCATGTGTTTGTTGAACCTACAATGCCCTGTGAGAAGTCCCACTAGTATTCTAGTTGAACTTCGTATCTGGCTTAGTAGATATTCTGTGAATGTTGGCGATGGTTTCTTAATAAACTCTTTTGCCTGTCTCATTCCTGGCGAGTTGTTCCACCATTCTTGAGATTTAGTTTGCATCCATGATTTGATACTAGTCTTTTGTATAGCTTTCGCAATACCACAGAAGGGTTCTGGGCCATTAAGAGCTTTGTTTGCTCCTGCTCGGGCAAGTGAGTCTGCCTCTTCATTGCCCTCGTACCCTGTATGTGCTGGTACCCATGCTAGAGTCAATCTGTTCTGACTGCCCAGTGCATTTAGGGTTTCTAAGCAGTCCCATACTAGTTTTGAGTTAACTTGCATAGAGTTGACTGCTTTGATTGCCGTCTGGCTATCTGAATAGATTGCAATGGTTTTGTCTTTAAACTCTTGCCTTATCAATTCTTTCACGCAATGATGTATTGCAATAATTTCTGCCTGAAACACCGTCGCGTATTTGCCTAAGCTCAGTGAGATTCTTTGGCTTGGCCCCATAAATACCAGCTCCTCCTCCGTATAGACAGCAATGTCTGCATTGATAGGAGGTCCTTCCTTCCATGCCTCTCTGTCCGTTATACTTATTTTAAAAGTTTTTTCAAAGCTATATTTTGGAATTATGCCATCCGTTGGCATCCCCATGATGCGGTCGCTTTCCAACTCTTCATGCGGTAAGTAAGAATGGGCAGCTATTCCCCAGGAATTCATTGAAAGTCTGATAGACGGCATGCCAGATAGGGTCGATGAAGTGATTTCCCAAAGTGGAAGACATACTAAATACTGAATGTTTTATGCATTGTTATCCTTTCTCTTTGTTGTTGTTCAATAAAAATTCAATGACATTTTTTCTCACGTACTGATATTTTTTCAAAAACATGTCGTTTCAATTAGGTTTTCTCACTTCTGGTAACAAGAAAGATCGGGATGCATCCAGAATAAATTATCCTTCCGAAAACAAGTTGATTTTCACGGATTTTCATCTAATTCTCCTCCCAACCGGGATTTTGAGGGTGTTCCAGATCTGGGTCAAGTTTGAAGAATTATTTAATCTTTAAGCCTGAGATTTCAGAAATCGATTGACGACGAAAAATGTTGGACTTCAAAACCAAAAAGTCAATCTTTCACTCTGAATAAAAGAGATATAGGAAGACAATTTACGAATTCTTCCAAGGTAATGAGAGCATCTGCTGTCAAAGTTGAAAAAAGTTTTTCTCTATTTGGGATCCTAATGAAAATTCAAAAAGTTTGCACAGTTTCAGGTAACACGCTGTTGCGAGTTCATGTGAAGAACCTCATGTTTCAAAGAAGTACGAAATTGTAGCTGAAGGACTGGGCTACCGAACAGTGTGAGCCGAATTCAAATTCTTCAAAGCAGAATAAAATCAATTTACCCACTAATCCCGGTATGTACGAATTCTGAATATCAAGATCTATCAAAATTTTCATGAAAA